GCGCCAAGGTTGTACAGCTCCTAGTTTCCATTAGCAGAGACACATGGAAGGAAAGCCTTGCCTGCTGCCTCCAAGGAGGAGGCCTGGCTGCCAGGGCAGAGGCTCCTGTGGGCCACACCAGGGCTTGCAGCACAGCTACACGAGGTGGCTCACGAGCTCCACGTCTCTTGTGTGGTCCCCCCTTCCTGCAGCCTTGTGGTCAACGTGCTGAGATCCCTGGAGTAATTTCTTGCAGATCTTTGCTGAGGTGCTGGGTGTTGCCCCATGGGCCAGAGGAGCCTGGTGCTCCGTTTGCTCAGCACTTGGCATCAGCAGGGCAGCAGCAGGTCGATGGTCTGGGTGTCAGCACATCACACCAGGAGCTGGAACCACAGATGCCAAGCCCAGCTTCCCGAGCTGCCAGCTCTGCCTCTCCCCCCTTGCCCCGAGGAGAGGATGAGGACACAGGGTGGGCACTGCAGAAGGACCACGGGTGACCTGAAGGGAGCCTCTTGTACCAGCAGCACGGTGGGCTGATGGTGTGGTGCCCCCAGGGGCTCTCAGCACGGCCCCCCCAGCACACACCCAACCCCAGGGGTGGCTGGTGAGGGTTGGTTCCTTACCCAAAGGGACGAGGGCAAGCAGGTGCCACTGGAGGAGCCCTGTGCCCCAGCAGGCACCCAACCTCCATCCATTCTGCACCAGCTCAGCCTTGCCCCATTCCCAGACACCCCTCCTGGCAGGTGGTCTGTGTGGGGAGGTGCTGTCCCTGCTCCATGTCCCTTCTCCCCCACTGGGAACAAGCCCAAAGCCTGGGGAAGGGAGCAGGACAGCAGGGAAACACTGGCTGGCTCCCGAAGCTTCGGTGCCTCCATCAGCTCTGCTGGGAGCAGAGCCAGGGTCACAGGGTCACCCCCAACCTGCTGAGCCCAGCTTTGCTGGGCACCACTGCCAGCCGGGCAGGGTTCCAGCTGCCTGCCCTGCCCCTGGCAGGGAGCTGAGCCAGCTCCTGCCTGCTGCCAGCGCCTGGCTGCTGGGGAGGGCAGTTCTGGTTCTCCACCTGCCTGCACGCTGCTGGGGACACACCGAGGGAGGGGATGGCTCTGGGGCAGTTTCCAGCTCAGCAAGTTCACCTCCCCGGGGGTGTCACCCCGGTAGGGGACAGAGAAGAGGCTCAAGCTTGTCCTCAGCCCCAGCACAGAAGGAGCAGCTCTGTTCAGGAGGTGGA